GTAAAATGGTCATTCAAAGAACTACGAACGATGATACCCCAATGAGGTGGTGCACCATCTTGTTGCAAAAAGACATGTGGCTGAAGCTCTTCTAGTTGTGGAAATACGAAGGTATATGTGGGTATCATCGTTCGTAGTTCTTTGAATGACCATTTTCCAAGAAGATGGATTGTGCGAGGAGGTCCAATTCCTTGGCCACCCAGATCACCTGATATAACGCTGCGGGGGGGGAGGGATTTATAAAGGACAATGTTTACAGGAGGATCGTGTCGAACATTGATGACCTAAAAGCCTGAATTACAATCGCAATAGCCTCTGTGGATGCCGACATGCTTGCCGCTACCTGGCGTGAAATTGACTATCGACTTGATATTCTACGTGCGACGAAGGGGGCACACGTGGAAGTTCATTGACAAGGGTCATGAAACTTTTTGAGTCTATTTAACCATTTATGTTATTAATTTTAATCTATCTTTATTATTTTATGAGTTAATAAACATCAAAATGGGTCCGGGACTTTATAAACACCCTGTATATCTGTAATATGCAGCAGTCGGACCGAGCAAGAAAACCGTCACAGGATTTTAATGAAAGCAAAATAATTTCATTTGATCATTTTCAAATGGATGACGAGCGAAAAGTAAAGTTTACTCCATCGACGATCAGTCTTTCTGGTAGGGAAAATCTTGCAAAAAATCCGAAAATGTCTCTATTTAGGGAAAAGAGGGCTTGTTGTTGTTGTTTTAATCCAGCCAAATCCATCGTCACTTTCTTTACCACCAACAAAAGATTGTACAACTATCAGCCAAATATAAAGATGGATAACAAGAATCTTGCTTACGAAAAGCATCCAATGAATCTCGAATATGTCTCAGACCCAGAATGGACAAGTAACAAACATATTGAACATATTGTCTCAAAAGCCAAAAACGATTAAACTTACTTGAATATATTGCGGGCCGATTGGGATAGATTGGGGAGCCGATGCTGTCACGTTAAGAGATACCTATTTGACTCTCATTAAGACCCATCCTGGAATATGGCTTTCCTGTGCACTGCTGTGCTTCTGCCACTAATCTGGATAAATTGGAAAGGGTCCAACTAAGTGTTGCAAGAATAATTACTGAACTAAGACGTAGTTGCCCTAAAGAAATAGTCCTCTTTGAGGCTGATCTTCAATCTCACCAATTACTTCAACAAACTTTCTAGCTATGGTCAGCACAATAGAACCTCTCTCTACCTTAACAATTGGTGCAACAATCAGCGACTGAAGAAAAACAGTCCATTCAGTCAGAGCCCCACTCCTTAAAATCTTGTCTGAATCCTTCAGAGGAAATCCCCAGAGTCCATTTCCACTTCCGGCTTTTCTGCTCCGGTCACAAAGAAAGATCATATTCCAGCTGAACTTAGGCAGCTAGCTTTGGAAATTTTAGGCGAGATTCCCAGTGACGTCGTAAAAATTTACACAGACGGTAGACGACTTCATTGAAAAATCTGGGCAAAATTACTCCATATTTCTCCGTAATCCTGATTTCACTTCAGTCTTTAAAAGTGAATTAATCGCAATTGAACACGGCATCGATGCTATAATCAACGAGAGTGACTTTGGAGATCTTTGGATCCTGTCGGACAATCGCAGCTCCCTTCAACACCTATACAATTGGACTAAAGTTGGAGACAAAACAAGCATCTCCATCCTTCTTAAACTTCAACTTATTTCAAAGCACCACGACGTTCATCTTCAGTGGATACCATTCCACTTTGACATCTTTGGCAATGAGCAAGCGGATCGCTTGGCCAAGGAGGGCTTTAGTCAATCAACACCTTCGTCCTCAGCCCTTACCTACTCAGAGAATCAGTCCAAAATCAAAAGTCATCTATCAAAAAAGTGGAGGATCCCCTCCTCTCATCATTGGTATGCGGCCAAGGAACCGGGCTCTTCACTTGTACGTATAGGAGATAGAATGTCCCAAACAGCTATTTCCAGATTGGCAAGTGGACACACGAATAGTCTCTTGTACTTTGAAGGAAGAAAGACTTGTGCGGTCTGTTCCAAATGTGAAGCCCAGCAGGCCTCAGCCGAACATATCGTTGACTGCTTGGACCTTTCCAAGGAGGACTTATAGGCTACTCCACTTCTTGTCGTCGACTTTTTGAGGGTCAACAACCTATTGAATCTTGTCTAACTTCGTCACACAATTGGAGGATAAGGAACAACAACAACAATAGGTCGCGCGATTCCCACAAAGAGAAAAGGGAAAAATGTCTTTACTCTTAATTATGCATACTTGAGCTAAAGATAGATTTAAGAACAGGATGTGGCTTTTTAAAAGCATGAGAAAGTGTTTCGATTGGAATAATTAATTAGGATTTGCGTTTTATAGAAAAGAAATAACATGAAAAGATTAATAGAAGCGTTTTATGTTACATATATATATAGATCTTACATATATATTATAGATGAAGGGTGGTCATAATGTAATGGCTCTTCGGTGTAAATACACATACATACATACACAAACACAAATTANATATTAAAAGGTATTTTTCGTTGTTTAATTCAGTAATTTTTACTATTTAAATACATGTACATTTTGTATAGTAAAAGGTAACTTTTGGGGTAAATAAAAATTATGACTTTTTGTTATCTTAAAATTTTTTGTTTCAATACTAAACACTGGAACTAAAAATTGTGTGTGATTTTTAAACTATAACTATGAATACTTTTTATTATAACTTAACTATAAATACTTAAGTTTTGAACTTGAAATCTTTTTATTATTTGTACTTGAGTAAAAAGTTAGTAATAGGTATGTAAAACTCTGTAAAGTGTCAAAACCTCAATGTGTGTTTTGAGTCCAACGATAGTTTTGGGGGTTATTTGAGTAAATTTCGTTTTTAATATTGCTTCAAAATAGAATATAAGTATGTGCTGTCTATTTACTATTTTTACTTTATATTAAATGTTAATCTTGGCCCTACGCCCTTTGTCAGGTATTTTTTAGTTTATGTGGCCTCTTAATCCTCACTGGTTTTAAATATCTAATAAACTGCTGGAAAAAAGAAATTTAAAAATAATTCTAGAAAGAAATTAATTCTTATCAACAAAATAGAAAATCAACCATGACTACTGAGATCACTAGTCATTGTTTATATATATATATATATATATATTCATTATTGACCGCGAATTTTGGACGTAGTAACGAAAATTTTACCCAGCAATCTTGAACTAATATTCCAGAAGTTATATTTTCTTTTTTTATAAATCTTTAATATTTTAATTTTACCAAAATAGAGTATATTTGTTTTATCATAAGTTTATGAATTTTTCGGCCATGACTTTTCGATTCAATTATATAATTCACGGTAAAAAATTGAAATGACTTATAAATACTATGAATAAAATAAACGTGATTACAAGCTAAATTTTCTCATTAAGTTATTCCTTTAGATTTAATCCCAGCATACAAAACAAAATCGAAACATTTACAGTACACACTATAGAAAAAGAAAATTCGACTTGGACATTACTATACTTAACTTCAAGCAAAGAAATACAGATAAAAGCTCTAATCGAAAATACATATACCTTTTTTAATACACCTCTAAATCCCAAAATCCATAAAGGGTTTGAGAGAAAGAAAATGAACTACAGCAAGTAAAAATAACGGGGATAACAAAAATAGATTCAATATCAACTTACATCATCCACCATGTATTTAAAAAGAGCTGCAAACGCATCGAAGCCTATCGAAACATGCTTAGTTTCCATCTTCAATCGGTTCAGTTCCTTGGTTCTGGTCTCACAAAGTGTTCCCAAACGTTGGATTTCTTGCGTCAGTTCAGCTTTACTCAACCACATAGGTGGCCTAACAGGCTTTGAAACAACACTTCGAACGCCAGTTTGTTCTGTAAAATAATTTAAACGTTGAAGGTTGACGTGATATTTAAACGTGATATTTTATTGAGTGAAACTATCTTATCACAGTCTTACATGAAATAAATCTAAGGAAAAAATAATAATAATTCATACTCTAGCTAATAGAACCATTTCAATATCAATACAATCTTAAACAAGCAATTTTATTTGGTAAAACTTCCTTATAAACTACAGCAGTGCAGATGTAAATTCAAATTTAAAGAAAGACAGAAATTAAATTAGATTAGATTAGTTATAGATAAAAGTTTCGCATTCGAAATATCGGTTCATGAATTTGAAAATTGATCATGTTGAAAGAATTGTCTACGGCATCCATGACCCAGATAGAAATAAAACTTTTAATTTAGAGGTACAAGGATAAGACTGCACAAAGAATGAGAGAGGGAAAGATTTAAATTGACTTGAAAAATGCTCAATTGCATGATTATTCGATACAATATAAATCAGAAAATTTGCAAAAAAGAAAAAAATTTATATTATATATATATACCTTATAATCTAACGATCTGAATTTTCCAACAGATACTTCCTGAATTTATTATATCTAAATTAATTTCCGCTTCATTTAGTTAATTTTAAAAAAATAATTTAACTTTCCTAGTACACCTATAAAAGATGTTAAAAATCCTCCTAAAAGATATGAGTTGACATAATGCCACAAGACCTATCCCACACATTGGAAACAACTCAAGAAATGAACTCTTTTTTCCTTCTTTTTAAGCAAGTATAAACCGTGGAGAAACTTCCGACAAAGCACCTGCCAACTCGTTAATTATACTCATTATTTTATTCATTTTGAACATTTGGGTAATTATACGGTGGAAGACACAATAAAATTTCTTCTGTTGTCATTGGTTTAATTCTCTCGACTGCAGAAATCATACAACAGACAGGAAACATATAAAAAAAAAACTGTAGCAAAGCAAAGGGTAAAAACCTTTATCAATGAGAGAAGATGACCGCTGAAATGATATAAAATTAGAGTCATTCAATATAACTTCATCGTGTCATGGCGGATGTTGTAGATGGTATTGTGATCTACACGATAATTTAAAAATAGTAAAACTTCTAGATTAGTTTATCACAGAATACATTTTATTAATGAAGATAAGTTGTCTTTTCTTCTGAAGTCCAGTGTTATATTACTTTTATGACAATAAATCTTATTAGTTATTTGATAATTTAAAATGCTATATAAACAGTATTATTTAATATGCAGCTATTGGGGACTCAAATGATAATGCCTCCCAATGAGGTGACCCAGGTTCGAATACCACTGGTCGATGCGAATTCTGAACTCAACAATCACAATGCGAGAGATATCACTAGTGGTAGATGGATCATGGATTAGAATCCCCTTGCCGTTTATATATATATATATATATATATATATATATATANATATATATATATATATATATATATATATATATATATATATATATATATATATATATATATATATATATATATATATATATATATATATATATATATATATATATATATATATATATATATATATATATATATATATATATATATATATATATATATATATATATATATATATATATATATATATATATATATATATATATATATATATATATATATATATATATATATATATATATATATATATATATATATATATATATATATATATATATATATATATATATATATATATATATATATATATATATATATATATATATATATATATATATATATATATATATATATATATATATATATATATATATATATATATATATATATATATATATATATATATATATATATATATATATATATATATATATATATATATATATATATATATATATATATATATATATATATATATATATATATATATATATATATATATATATATATATATATATATATATATATATATATATATATATATATATATATATATATATATATATATATATATATATATATATATATATATATATATATATATATATATATATATATATATATATATATATATATATATATATATATATATATATATATATATATATATATATATATATATATATATATATATATATATATATATATATATATATATATATATATATATATATATATATATATATATATATATATATATATATATATATATATATATATATATATATATATATATATATATATATATATATATATATATATATATATATATATATATATATATATATATATATATATATATATATATATATATATATATATATATATATATATATATATATATATATATATATATATATATATATATATATATATATATATATATATATATATATATATATATATATATATATATATATATATATATATATATATATATATATATATATATATATATATATATATATATATATATATATATATATATATATATATATATATATATATATATATATATATATATATATATATATATATATATATATATATATATATATATATATATATATATATATATATATATATATATATATATATATATATATATATATATATATATATATATATATATATATATATATATATATATATATATATATATATATATATATATATATATATATATATATATATATATATATATATATATATATATATATATATATATATATATATATATATATATATATATATATATATATATATATATATATATATATATATATATATATATATATATATATATATATATATATATATATATATATATATATATATATATATATATATATATATATATATATATATATATATATATATATATATATATATATATATATATATATATATATATATATATATATATATATATATATATATATATATATATATATATATATATATATATATATATATATATATATATATATATATATATATATATATATATATATATATATATATATATATATATATATATATATATATATATATATATATATATATATATATATATATATATATATATATATATATATATATATATATATATATATATATATATATATATATATATATATATATATATATATATATATATATATATATATATATATATATATATATATATATATATATATATATATATATATATATATATATATATATATATATATATATATATATATATATATATATATATATATATATATATATATATATATATATATATATATATATATATATATATCTATATATATATATATATATATATATATATATATATATATATATTTATTTATTTATTTATTTTAGATTTAGATAATTTAGGATACAAATTAAACTCGATTTTGTAAAATAATAAATCGTTTACATCTCCTCCTTTTGAAAAGATTAGTCATTTGTTAATAGAAAGAGAAAAAAACGAGTGAGTTAAAATAAAATAAGTAAAAAATTTAACCGAGATGCTGCAGACTAAAGCATCTGAAACTTTGCTATATTTGTAAAACCCTAATCACCGTCTTAGAATCCTTATGATGAGGTCTAAAATCATTATAATGAAATGATTATAAGCGAGTTAAAAATGCTAACTCACTCTTTACTTAAGAATGACATTTGAGTAGGTAATGATTTATTTCAAAGTTTTACTTCAGAAGAAAATTTAATGTCAAATAGTTATTTCATCAATAGCTTTTGTAACTAATTTTGTAAAGAAAAAAAATTATTGAATTGTTTTTTGTTTTTTTTTTCGTATATTAAAACTATCACAATTTAATTCTACACTTATATAAGAAATAAAGTACTAAACATGTAAGAATTTGTTACATTACTGAAAAATTTCATTATACATTTTAAATACTTTAAAATTAAGTGTCTAAAACATTTATTTTGAGTCTAAAATTTATAATGTAATAAATTTTATAAAAATTCCATTGCTCTGAAAATTTATATAGCACATCCTATTTCGAATCTAAATCGAAAATATGATTTTTATTTGTTAGAATAGTTATAAAAAATTTCTCTTAGATCGCTCATTATTAAAATTATTTTAAAGATACCAGATTTTAAACTATAATATTCAATCATTTTTTGTTTATATTTCAATCAAGTTTAGTTAATATAAACTTAAGAAAAAATTTCACTTAAAATAATAACCAATGGTGGATGTTAAAAAAACATTGGTGTAATATATTATTTAATCAATAAATATAAATTAAATGATGCAATATGAAATTTTTGCTCATTTTCAACAGCATCAAAACACTAAATTTATGATTTCATCAAAAATTCGGTTCTTATTTTTTATTCTCTTTTTCGAATAATAATACTTTTATAAAATATTTATAGAAGGTTTTATTGAACAATTTTTTTTTATTTAGCCATAATTAAAAAAAAATCTAGACATTATTTTATGTTTGAAACATTGATTACTACAAAAAATTAGTATGATGCAATGACGAGGTCAAATTTAAAGAGGAAAAAAGAAGAAAATCCAGAAGTTGTGGTAGGAACGAATTCTCAGAAATAATCTTTGCTAGACGACATTAAAGTGTCATGTGGGCGATAAAAGAGAAAGGAGATACACATTAAGGTTTCCGTATCTATTTATTTCATCCACTTAGCTTCAATTTAGCCACTGTGGATGTAATCAAAATATTTACGTCTTCCGGACAAGAAATGCCCATTTTAAACATCCTTTTTAAATTCGGATTAAAACACATTTAAACGAGTCAGATATTCTTGTCATAGGTTAAATGAATAATCCAGCACCTTAACGTTGTTTTGCAATGCGTTGGATTCATTGGAACAATTTTCATTATTTTTTAAACCGCCCGACCTTTTTTTTCTTTTTTGTTTCATTACAATCAGCTCAAGTAGAGCCGCGATGGCTTAGGGGATAGAGAGTTCGCCTTTCAATGAGATGAACCGGGCTCGATGCCGGCGATGGCTGGTC